GGTGCAGACAACGGTCACTCTGGGATCAGGAATGGAACAGTATTGTCTTTAGTGACGAGTCTCGATTTTGCTTAGGCATGCACGATGGTCGTGCCAGGGTTAGAAGGCGACCTGGTGAAAGGAGGAATCCACAGTTTTTTGTTGAAAGACATGTTCATCACACTGTTGGAGTTATGGTTTGGGGTGCTATAGCTTATGGTTCCAGGTCACCTTTAATCTTCATCAGAGGTAACATGAACGCGCAGCGTTATATCCACGAAGTTCTAGAACCCCATCTTTTACCCTGTTTTGACACCCTGGCAGATCCAACTTTCCAACAAGATAATGCCCGACCACATGTTGCAAGAGTCACAATAGACTTCTTTCAACATAATGATGTCACATTGTTACCATGGCCACCAAGATCTCCCGACTTATCCCCAATTGAGCACGTGTGGGATATGATGGGTAGGAGATTGCTCAATTTGCAACGTCCTCCTCAGACTCTAGAAGCACTTCGAGAGGAGTTGGTGGTTGCCTGGAATGAGATACCACAGGAGGACATTGACCACCTGATCAGAAGCATGCCTAGGCGCGTTGGAGAATGCGTAGCACATCAGGGTGCATCCACACATTATTAAAGGTCAAAGGGCTTTAAAGCAGTGCAATCATTTTGAAATTTTTATCATTTACTTATTATGCTTCATTAAGTACTTATACAAAATTTTATTAAAATAAAACCATTTAAACTGGGTGTTCGGATTTATATGTCACTTAGTATATTTATGAGTAGACCTAAGACTTGTAAAATTAGCATGTTCTATGTATAGTAGTAGTATATTTTCGTTGTAAAATCCATCTATACATATATTTTCTGAAATTCTAGATTTCCTGGTCTATACTGAGACACCTGATTAGTGTATTACTTTGTACCAAAATGAATGTCTGTCTACTTAAACTGTTACAACGTTCTCAATGATTGCATCTCATGTACGGCCCCAGAAGTGATTTTTTCTCACCGCTGGTACTCTAAGTCCTTAGAAGCAAAAACACTAAGTGATACCTAATACTAGTCGCTGTATCAAGATAAAAAACAAACAGTGAGAAGTACCCGCGGTCATCACAGCCGTGAGATAATTATTTTGATTCAATCACAAATGAGAAGGTTACAATGGAGCTGTTTTTTTTTTGCTGATGTAATTTGATGCCTAATTAATTTTTGTACCTATCTTCAAACGTGGTAATGTTCAAGTTGAGCTAATTTGAATAGGTGATCTTTTAAGAGGTTTGCGGGCCCAGTTGAAAAAGAATGTTGATAGTAACGTTATATACAATCTTAAATAGACTCATAGGCGTGCGAATAATATAGATGTTACTGTTAAGGCGCCGTAAGCAGGGTACTGCGGTAACCGTATAATAATAATAATAATAATAATAATAATAATAATAATAATAATAATAATAATGTCTTCATTAATTCCTCCACACTGCGAGGCGAATTTTAGCCAGCTGGGTACTCTACCACTTAACCTAATCTCCCGCGTAAAGCTCTAAAAGCTAATCAGCTTAAGGGACAACTTACAGACTTTAGAAATAAATTCACTTTCCATAAATTTATAATCCACACCTTTGCGGGTGACTTTTACCCGAGTTTTTACCTGCCTAAAATACTCTTCGATTGAGGTTTAAACTTCAGCTGAGACGCTTGAAAACCCAAAAATCTGATATTCTAACTCAGTCTTTAAGCATAGGAAATGACCATTTTACGGCTTTTCAGACCTTGAATCGCATATAACTCGGAAACGGCAAATTTTAGAGGAATAGTAAAGATAATAAATCGTCCTTAACCTTTCACAAAATAAAAATAAATTATCGTCAAAAATCTTTAAATAGTAGTATTATATAAATATTACATAAATCCATCTACGATGTCAAAATTATGTACGCTGTGACATTAGAAGTGTTACCTACACCCAGAAAAAATAATTCTTCAACTTGATTTTTTGGCAAATGATGATTGACTTAAAATTTGTTGTTCAAAAATGACAACTTGTGTTTGAAATCATTGGAACTCAGAAGCTTTGTAGGCAGTGGTAATGCATTGTAATGTTAGTAAAAATCCTTTTGTCCAGAATGATCTGCATTGGAATCTCAAAAAAATGGTGCGGAAAAAGTATTTTTGTTATTTGCTCAGAAAAAAAGTTTAAACAAATTTGCACTGAGGTACCGTGGAAAGACCTATTGATTCATCGAACAAATTTGACTAAAATAATCGACCTACAAAACTTTCCTCACGAGGTAGAAATTTGAGAGCACAGTACATCGCTCTAAACACTTTTCCTAGGTTCAGACTTTTGTGGGCCGCTTTTACTTCCCACGCCTACTGACGGGGAAATTGTAATCGCGAAAATTTTCGAAAATGAGATAATATGGTTTTTGGATGTTACGAGGGATGTCTTTTAACTTTTGCATATGGAAATAAAACTATATGACAGGTAGTTTTAAATGAGTTTACTGTTTTTCGAAGTATTCTCCACGAAGATTAATACACATCTGCATGCGCTCGAACCAATTTTCGAAGCACTTATTCCACTCGTTTGCTGGCAGATCCAAAACGGCATTTTTGAATGTGTCAAATGCTTCTTCTGGTGACTGGAACCTTTGACCACGCAGTCTGTTTTTAATTTTCGGGAAAGTAAAGAAATTGTTAGGACTTAGATCGGGACTATATGGAGGATGGTTCAATAATTCCACGTTTTTTCTTCATACCAATGGAAAATTGTCGACTGATGTGGCGCTTCGTTGCCGAAAACAGACAGCGAGGCATTCTTGTTGCGATAATTGTCTCTGAAAGTTGTAATAAATTATGGCGCGAAAATGTTCTCGGTTGAGTTCCATTTTTCTAATGACTTGGTGACACTTAAAAACTCACTGTAGTGAGAACACTGCACGTATTGTTGTGAAACTGTGAATTTAAGTTTACTAAAGAGTGAGGTTAAGATTCAGTTCGATCCGCGCGGCCTACTATGTTTCTATATGCAAAACTTAAAAGACATCCCTCGTATATGACATCTACATCACGAAAAAGCATGTTACTCATTTCCGCAAAAGATATATAAGTGTAAAAAATCGGTGCAGTGACTGCCAAAATCGAAAAAGAATAAGAATTGCTCTTTGCTTTTTGACGTTTAGGAGGATCCTGATAATTTTAGAAATAAATTGGGGGTGGGGTTTTTTAGAAGGGTGGGGAGGGCTTATCTCAATTTGTTGATGACGGAACATTCATACGCTCCCAATCATAGTATTCCTGTGCATCCATTGGGCATGTTTCACACATCAGAGATTACTCCGTACTTTAGCCCTTACCATTTTACCTACCGGCCTGCCTTGGTCACGCCACAGCATAGTGTTTCACATTCTCTGATCGCTGTGCCACGTGCAACCGGGAGAGGCGACGTGTCCAGATGCACAGGGCAGGGAAACGCTGTATGGACCTGTTTGACTGACTTTTCTTTCAGAGGGTCTAGTTTGGGCTGAACATATTCCTTGAACTGATAACGGCGTTGCGTGGAAGTGCGGAGTCAACCTGCCAGTCAGTCACACATTCTGTAAGATGCTCCTAGCTAAGCAAAGAAAATAATGCCAATTTCTACGCCCATGCGATGGAGCATTATTACAGTTTCAGAGATGTGTAATCTGACAGAGGTAGAGGCCCAGGGATGAAATAAAATTGCGTGATACATGCGATGCGGCTACCAAAGATAATGCAGACCTGATGAAAATATTGTATTGTATATATTAATAAAGGGTTGGCCAACAATGGATAAAAATATTGTAATGCTTCCCCCTTTTTATAGAATGCGCACAGGGGCGCATCAAGATAGCTCATCCTGCATTTTTTCCTTTCAACACGTGAATATCGATCCGTCACTAAAGGCAGCCACACACGAACACAAAAATCTAAGCGAGACGTGATATGTTGGTGGACGGCGGATTCTCGAAATACACTGAGTGACCAAAAAAGGTAAATACCTACGTATGTTTTCGAGCCCCTCACCACTTCAGTTGGCCCAACTATTGAAATTTTTTTCTTATCAAGCACAAATAATAAAAATTTAGCAGGGTGTTATAGGTTTAAAATATTAACAATGAATATTTTGATAATATGTAGTAGAAAACACCAACCTTATCACTCCCTAATCAAATTTGCAGCATAAAAATAAAACATGTTGCAATTACAGCATATCAACCTATTTTCATTTCAATGCAAAATAAGTCTATAATGCATAGGTGGCTGTGAAGTATAAAAGCCATGACAATTGTTTTTATTAATCACAGCTGTCAGAATACGTTTAAAATAGTTTTGGGTAGTTAAGGTTTTCAAAATGGGCAGAGAATAGGTTATTAGTGAGAAAATTCGGTTACAGATGACTAAATTTGTTAATTCTGGGAAATCAAACTCAGAAATTGCAACTTCGTTAGACTTATCGCGGTACAGTGTGAGAAATATTGTTAAAAGATATAACGTAACTGGTTCAGTTAATATTAAGCCACGATATGTGAAAAAAAGTAATATCACAAATGCCGACCGAAGAGCATTAAGAAGAATAATCGTGAAAAACAGGCATGCCAATTATTTACAATTAAGTGCTCTGTGAAGTGACGCTGTTGGAAGGAGAATTTCGAGGTCCACAACTCATAGAGAGGCCCACAAACTGGGATTTAGTACTTGCAAGAAGTTTCCTTATAAAAAAAAAGTGAAGTAAAAACCCTAAAATTGCACAACTTGTTTATAGGCCAAAGAAAAGCCACTATTAACTCCACTGCAAAAGAAAAATCGGTTTAGATGGGCTAAGGAACATAGACAATTGACACCTCAACAATGGTGTGCAATACAATGGAGTGATGAGGCCCTATTCGAAGTTTGTGTTGGTGACAGTCGCAATAGAGTTATTCGCAAAAAAAATGAGGCATTCCATGTTGACTGTCTGAAGAGAAAAGTGAAATTTCCAGCATCCATTATGATCTGGGGCAGTATGTCATTAAAAGGAGTAGGAAAACTTCATTTTATTGATGGAAATGTGGATACGAACAAATATTTGCCAATTTTAGAAGAATCGCTTTTACCAGTGATGGAAGAATATTTGACATCCGGCCAAGATTTTGTGTTTCAGCAAGATGGTGCAGCGTGCCTCATACCTCAAAAAAGGCTATAAAATGGATGGAAGAAAATAATGTACCATTTTTGAAATGGGTTTCTAGCAGTCCAGATCTGTCACCTATTGAAACTTTGTGGCACGAGATGAAAAAGGTTCTTTGACAACATCCTGCTCGTACAATCACCGAACTGAGACAAAAGCTTCAAGAAATATGGGATTGTTTTACACCAAATGTTTGCCAAAACTTGGTTAACACTATGCCCCAAATAATTTCAGCCGTAATAAAAAATAAAGTTGATGTTACCCAATGGTAATCTTTCAATTGTTGCTTTGTTAACTTCGCGCATTTATTCGCACATTGTTTATTTGTTCAGATGTTCTATTAGTTATAGGTCAAATATGTATTTTTTACGACTAGAGTGTATCTAAAATGTTTTTGAGAAAATAAATTGGTTTAGAAGTAAATAGTTTAGGCATGTTTAGTTTATAAAGGCATATTTTGGTACAAATCTTGAAGTGGGCCAACTGAAGTGGGAAGGGGCTCGTATTAGAATTCAAGAATTTTTTACATATCGATTTATTTTGTCATGAACAACAAGTGATAAAATGGTCAGGTTTTTCTATTGTGGTGGCTGCGTGTATTATTTGGTGATCAAAAGCATTCAGTTTTCATACATTTACGGCAACAAGACCGCCGGTTAAGACTTCTGGATCTGAGAGACAGACTCAGTAGTACTCGAGCCATCGCTAATCAGTGGTTTGAAGAGCATGTAAGGATGGTTGGTATGCGTACAGCTGAACATCGGCGTAACCGTGAGCTCTGATGTAGAGAAAGAATTCTATGGAACCGGGAATGGAATCAGGTGGTCTTTAGTGACGAATCCCGCTTCTGTCTGGGCATGCGCGATGGTGGGGCAATAATGAGGAGGCGATATTGACCACCCTATCAGCACGATGCCCTGGCGTGACAATGAGTGTATAAGACATCGTGGATCCTCAACACATTACCAGTTTCTGCAGTCAGTTGACGAATCAAGCTGAAAATTTAATTGCGTTACTAGTAAAGGACACTGAACATATATGCCAAAAATTATTAAAATCGGATAAACATACGATGGCACCTTTTTTTGATACTCAGTAAAATATCCAAAAAACATAACATCTCATTTTCGCGATTACAATACTTCGTCGGCAGTAGGCGTGGCAATAAAAACAGTATGCTACTTTAGTTTGTAGCCCCATATATATTAAACCCTTACGCAGAAGACTGATGTTCATAAATATTGTTGCCTGCGGTGATAGAGGCATCGAACATGTAATGAAAGCATTGATGCATCGTCAGTATCCTGAGGAGGTTCATTCAAATTCTCGTTGCGTACGTCTCTATTTGCGATTCGCCTAACAATTTCATTATTTTCCAGCAAGTATTGATTGATAATTTGAAAGTATAAAGGTTTAATTATGCGAACAATCATATTAGCATTTTTACGACCATTTTCACAGCTGGGTGTATCGTTTGCGGGTAGGTTAACTGGGTATAAATTTAGTCAACCTTCGTTACCTACCTTTTTTTATCCTCGGACCTGATTTGGTCTTCTTACCGATAAAATTACAGAATATGCGGTCATTATAGATGCCGTTTTTATTTTATGTGTTATTAACGAACCGCTTGAGACTGTTGACAGTTTATTTATGGAATGTCAATATTATGAATTTCTTGCGTGACACAAGACGTGTTTTCACGAACATGCTCAGTCATTCGGCATTTTGAATGAAGATACGCTCGGATAAAGGTTGGTACTGTATCTGAGAATCAAAAAATGTCTCATATTTTTTTTTTGAGGTTTCGGAGTCTCCTGGTCATTTGCAGAAAAACTTGGAGGTTGGTGGTTGTAGGGGTGGGGGCAACGGCGGATCCAGGATTTGGGCGGGGTGACATCAGTGCCTCTGACAATTAAAAACTTGACTGGCGGACGACAGCCATATCCTTGTTCCCTTAGGGTACAGCCTAAAAGTGATTAAAATATTAAATCTAATTTATAAATGAACAATTTATTGTTAAATAACAAAATTAATTCTTCTTTTTTGTCGTCCTGCGAATCGATTAATATTAATACTTACCATCTCCTTTGAATCCAGTGCAACAACTTTTTTGTGGTTTTGTCCGTCACAGTGGCGGATTTAAGTAATGGCAAAATGGACATTGCCGCCTGGGCCCTCCCAAGGAAGGGTGGCCACAGGGCGTCCCAGCAAAAATCAGCTCTCTTGTTCAGCGCGTCTGAATGTAGAATTAATAACAAGAAATCAGAGTGTTGTTATATTCTTTTGATGACCATCTGCGTAATGTTTATGAAACAGTGCGTTAGCATTCAGTTTGAATAATAAAATTTCTCTTTCATTTCTTAAGAAATTTTTTGAAAAATGACTATTTCATTTCTAAAAAAATGACCGAATGACCCTTTTATTTCTCAAGGAGTGGAGGGGTTCATGTTCAGTAAATAAATATCTTCGTGGTATGAATCAGCCTCTTTCAGTCTAATAAAGACTCTAATGCCTCTATTACAGTCTTTTCACGTCTTCAATGCTTATAACCATAAACTTTCACAATACTGTGCATTTTTTTATTTGATGACATATCTATTTTCTTCATGATAATATCGTGGAAGAAATTTTTTTAATGTATTATCAATTGCATAGAAGATGGCGAAGATATAATGAATGCAAGATCTCTCCTTTTTTTCATAAACTGGACTTTTTTCCTCAATTTGTTATGATGGCATTCAGTATTGAGCGTAATGAATACTGTGCAAATTCAAATACAAAAGAAAGAAATAGACGTAATGATGGCTCAAAAGTGCATTTCAGCAGCATTAAAAAAATTACAAGATTTTAGGAGCGAAAGCACATACGATAATTTTTTTCTGAAGGCTAAGAATAAATGGAAAGAGATGGAATGGGAAAATCCTGGTTCTTCCATTGTCAGAAAGAGGAAAATCAAAAAAAGTTCGATCAAAAAGCTGTTGACTCGCCACTGGAAACACACGAAAAACATCAAATACATTACTACGAAGTTTTGGATTCAATGAGTAACGAATTGCAAGAACGTGTTGAAGGATTTCGTGAAGTGAATGATGTGTTTGGCTTTTTGATGCCAGAGAAATCAGTAAATCTAAAAGAAAACGAATTAGAAACCAGCATCACATTGGATGGAAAAATATTCGGAATTTTTCACTACAGATATAAAATATGAATTAGCCATTTTTTTTTTCAGAAAATTGTAATTTTACTAATGACAGCCCGCTAGATTAATTGAAGTTCATGATTGCAAACAATTTTATAGACAGTTCTCCAGAGAGCTGCAGTTTATTCAGATTGCTTTTGACTTTACCTATCGGTTCAGCTAGTGCTGAACGTGTCATGAGCTCTTTGAAAATTATACCTATATACCGTCGAGCTTCTTTGGCTGAAGACACACTCAACAACTTCTCTATCCTCTTTATTGAAAGATCAGTAGCTAATACACTCAATTTGGATTCTGCGATGCAAGCTTTTGCTCAACGAAAAGCAAGACGCAGGTTCAAATTAGAATAATTCTGTTATTTTGTATTGAATAAAAAATGTTTGATCTCACAGTCTCTACTTGATTCAAGTTATATAGACATATAGTAAAAAAAACAGAGGTAACAGTGCGCAGTAGCTACTATTGTGCATATAATTGTGAGCCCCTGTCAATATGTGACATCCTTATTGCCAGCAAAATCTGTAGTTCGAACTTTATCTAAACAATTTAGATGGATTATACGTTATCGAAAAATTTTAGATCCGCATGAATATTGGAACAGTTGAATTAGCTGTTTTATTGGCACGTTGAAGCAGCATTAGATTAACTTTTTGCATCAAATTACTATTAAAAAACCTTTTGCACTATCCATGAGCTTGTTTCGGTTACTTGTCAAGATCTTTCTAATTTTTTTATTCTGAGTTGCCGTCAAATTTGCAAATAGCGATAAATGTGGCGAATATCATTTTCGCAAATAGTGCTCAGTATATCCTGTAGTAATGCACGTTATTTAACGTATTTTAGTGTTGTTCACCAAGCTTGTATTCAATGAAATATTAATCAAGGCACACATGACAAGAACTATCGATCATACCTGTTTTTTTCTTATTTATAATTTTATATATATATATATATATGTATATATCGGTAGGATCCGTGATAACCTTTAAACTCTATTATGCACAAGAAGTTTAATTTACTTCAAAAAATTACGATGCGCATTACAACCTGTCCCGTGCCAGTGCGCACTAATAAATGCAAACACCAGGCTGATGTACGATTGCGCTAACATGACATTACGCATTAAATTTTGATATTAATTTCTGAGTTATCATGTAACTTTCAAAGATTCCATATTTTATTTGTCAATAATTGCAGTAATTTATGTTATTCGCAAAACAGTTATAGTGCGCACTATCTGCCGTCTGTCCCCGATCATACCACTGACCCCCATGACCCCCCCCCTGGAATCGCGTCTGGGTGAGGGAGAATATGTTTTGCGTTACTATAGTTTATGCGCTTTGAAGCTCGGTTATACTACGAACCTATTAGACACATTTCAGACATCACAGATTTTCCTGTGCATTTTTCCTTCAAATTTGGAATGATTAGCGACATTTTCAATACCTGCGTCTGACCGATGGATGGCTGTCTTGGCTGGCGAACATGAAGACTAGTCATAAAAACGTTGCCAGGTGGCTGGCACTGTCGGTAGAGCACCGTTGTCAAATGCCTGAGGACTATAAATTCATTTAGGAGCCAGTTTGACTGACTTGATGCATTTAATGTTTTTGTTACACATGTTCGTATCTTTCTAGCTTCTTTATCGGAGGGGCTAAGTCGTACCAAACATAATATTTTATGAATTGATGACAGCGTTGCGTGAAAGGTGCAGAGTCAAGCTACTTATAACTGAATCTTGTATATCGGTGAGCATTGATACGTCTATGAGTGTTCATATGTTACTATAATAACAACGTTATATTACATACTTGATACAATTACCATGACTATTCCACACAGTCTTCCAATTTCTAACCAGAATTATTTATAAAGAGAGAACCACACGTTATCCGTCTCGACAAGTTTGTA